ACACACAGACTGGTAGACACACAGATGGACAGACTGGCAGACACACAGACTGGTAGACACACAGATGGACAGACTGAGAGACACACAGGGTGCCCTCACCTTCAGCTCATTCATGGACAGGATGCTCCGGGATGGCAGCTGGGTGCCCAGCCGGTACCGGATGCCCTCATCCAGAGTCATTCCCCAGAACTGGCTGTAGTTCCCTGCATGCCAGCTGGCAGCACAGAGAGAATAATGGTAGCCTGTGCTCACCTCACACATATAGGGACAACTGTGTGATGACTATGGAAACAGTGTGTGTAGTGTTTGTATTATCATTTTCTCTTATCTCTGTGACTCTCTCCTGTCCCTGTGACTCTGTCTTCTGTCCCTGTGTCTCTCCTGTCCCTGTGACTCTGTCTCCTGACCCTGTAACTCTCTCCTGTAACTATGATGCTCTCCTGTCCCTGTGTCTCTCCTATCTCTGTGACTTTCTCCTTTCTCAGTGATTCTCTCCTGACCCTGTGACTCCGTCTCCTGTCCCTGTGACTATGTCTCCTGTCCTTGTGACTCTCTCCTGTTCTTGTGACTCTGTGTCCTGTCCCTGTGACTCTCTCCTGTCCCTGTGTGCTCTTACCCGTAGTTCCCCCTGTTGATAGCGTGGATCATGTCTGGCTCCACCAGGCAGACGTGCTGCTCGCAATCCCACTGTCCGGTTCTGGAGCAGGTGCTGAAAAATGGGAGGAAGAATTTGAGGGAGCAAACAGAGGCAGAGAAGGAGTCTGGGAGAAGGGGGGAGAAGGGGGCACAGCCTGCTGTGCATCAGAAGCACGTGTTTGTGTTGACTGAAGTCATTGACTGAACTGAATGTGTTTTTGTACGTCGTGATTGTTTTTAAACTGTACAGAGCACGGCGCTCAGGGAGAGCCACAGACATGGCAGTCAGACCGAGGCAGAGGAGGACAGGGGGCAGCAGAGCCAGCTCTCCTGAGAGGCCACGGTCATGCAAACTGCTCCTCAAGCAGCGGCAGGAGCTTGGCGGGGAGATTCCATGAGGGAATGAGTCTCCGCGGGGAGCTGGGAAGATCACAAGCCTTTTAAGGCCTTTTAAGGATGCACAGAGCAGAAAATTCCATTTTTAGTCAAAGATTAAGGCAGTTTGTAGGAGTCGGCTGACAAAACTGATAGGGACCCATTTCACAGTGCTGGATGGGAAATGGAGTATCTGGGCAGGAAAAGAAAAGGCAGGAAAGATAATTTCTGTTGTTTTTGCCAGATGAATCATCTGATTTCCAGTAGCCTGACAGCCTGCACTCAGCCAGCAGTCACAGGGAGATCAGAGGAAGCAGCCATGACAGTACAGAGTGTCGTCTCAGGCGATCTTCCCCTCTCTCTCACACACTGCTGCTCCTGCACGGAGCTCTGAGAGGGGCTTCGACACCGCAGCCCCTGTCCTGTCTGCATGTTACAGGTGGTTATGCACACAGAGAGGGTAGTGAAAATCATAGTTGTTGACTGAAATCCACTTTTTTCACAGGACAGGGCTGAACTTCCCTTGAGCCACTGAAGGTGTATTTCCTCTGGAACAAAGCAAATTTGCTTGCGTGTTTCATGTGCTCAAGAAGTGGTTTGCATTTCATGTGCAGAAACAAGAAAAAACACATTTTGACACAGTACATTCCCGAGGAAGCTGTTCTGATAATGTTGAAGTCTCACACAGTTGCTCATAAGCACTTGCAGATATGTCCACACAGCTGTTTGTGTGTCTGTGCAGCTCTTTAATTCTCTTTCCTTCACCCTCTTTTACCCTTTCCTCCTTGTCCAAATTCAAATTGAATGATTTTTTATTGGCATGACCAATAGCAATTATCAAACTTTAATCCTCATGTAGAACAATAAGATATCACTCTGACTGGCTCACAAGAGGATTGTGCTGAGCTGTAAGTAGAGTTTGAAATGAGCACAGACAGACTTGTGCAGGGTGAACAGTTCAGTGCAGAGAAAAACAATGGTGTTATAAACAACAGCTTGCGCAATTCAGGAGTTGTGCAATTGCACCTGTGTTATAATGAGGATACACAAACACAGATGCATGTCCTGGCCTGAGACCAGGTCATCACCAGTGGGCAGTGGTCATCTCTCTCTTGCTCGCTCTCGCTGGGTCCCCCAGAGACCACTCTCAGCCCCTGTGCTGCGACACCCGAATACCTAAACACTGCGTCTCTTCCAGAAACTCAACTAAATTACTTCTGCATTGCAGTAGACAGCTTGCAGCGACTCCTGTGTGTCATTCCTTTAAACAAGTCAAACAGTACTGAAGGAAATCTTGTCAAGTTTTAAAATTTCATTACTGTTTTTTTCAGTATAAGAACCTATCAAAGCATTCAGTTTTGGAACTTTATTTGATGTTTTTATTCAAAGCCACTTATATTTGCACCCATTCATACTGCCAGACAAGTGACTTAAGTTACCCGTGCACTGCAGTTTATTCGAATTTCCAACAGCTGTGCCCTACATGGGATCTGAACTCATAACCTCCCCATTACAAGCCCTGAGCACAGCTCCACTCTGCTGTGGGCTGTTCGCCACAGTGTACTGTAGTAACAGGAGAGGGAAGTGCTGCACAACTGAGCAGTGAATTTGCAAGGAGTCGTCACAGCTGCTCTCCTGGTTTCCGCGGTCGCAGAATGTCTCCCGCTGGCCTGCACCTCTCCTGCGGCCCAGCATGGCTTCGCTGTGCCCAGACTTGCTCCTGTCCTTCTGCGCAGCACACGGGTGACAATGGGAGAGAGCTGCTCCCAGTGTGTGATCGAGGGCCACAGCCTCGCACCCTGACGATGGAGAGCAGCTGCTGTGTACTGGGACCCCCAGCATGTGCCTGTCTGCAGAAAAGCCCTTGTCTTTAACAGACTCAGGGACCTACAGGGTGAGCCAGTGAAATTCTGCACCTCGGTGCGAAGGCTCTGTGTCCCTGCAGAAGAATCTAGGAGCGCTTTCTCACAACGCACGCCTCTTCCTGTTTCCTGTGGCACTTGCCCAGACCCTGTGCTAAAAATAGCCCTGCCCGCGTGAAAGGTCTCAGACCGGAACAGCCCTTCAAACTTCAAGTGCCCCAGTGAAAGCTGACAACAAGCAGCAAAAACAGAGAAACAGATAAGAAGCGACGACCACGAATGTGCAGGCCACTGATACCACCTGCCTTCCCCAGGCCTGCCGCGCCTGTGGCCTCGTGGCCACGAGAGAGAGGACGCTCACCAGAGGTTGCAGTTCTCTCTGTGCGTCGCCCCGGGGTGGAATCTGTGTCCGTTGCGCTCGCAGCTCTCTGGAGGTGAAAGACAAAGCCTGGGTGTGAAAGCAGGGCCGGGTCTGCGGGGAGAGCCTGGGCGCAGGTCTGCTGCAGGCTGGCCCTCAGTGACGGCACAGCCGCCGGCAGCTTCAGGGCCAGCTAGAATCCCAGGGTGCAATGCTCCACCCCAGCCCCACATAGCGGCTGCAAGGTCTGCCCAGTACGTGCCCGGCACAGACTCGGCAGGGGCCCTGCACAGACCCGGGCCACCAAGCCCGCTCCCTCCACAGGGCCCACGCGTGCCAGCTCTTCTGCGGCAGGACAAGCCTGGCGCTGCAGTACCAGCATTCCCAGCCGCACCCAGACCACCCCTGTGGGTCAGCCCTGCGCGCCTCTCGGGACCTGCAGGGTGACCTGGCTCTCCGCTGGCTCTGCTCCTGGCTGCCATTCTACACCACCTGGGCCCCAAGCCAGACTCCTTTGGCAAATAACTGAGGCCTTTAATGAGCACATACCTGCGGTGACCTCTGTGTGACCTGACACACATTAATACACCACCCTCCAGCACCCCCATCCTGCACATTCTTTCACTCAGACTCCATTCATTCCATTCAACTCCTCTTCACAGCCCTCTGCTTCTCTCTTCCTCTGTCTCCTTTTTTCTTTCCATCTCTCAGTCTCCCTCTCTGCCTCTCTCCATTTTCCTCTCTCTCCCTGTCTCCCTCTGTCTCTGCTTCTCTTTCTCTTCTCCCTCTCTCTCTCTGTCTCACTCTCTCCCACCGTGTCTCTCCCTGTCTCCCTCTGTCTCTGTCTCCCTCTGCTTCTCTTTCTCTTCTCCCTCTCTCCCTCCCTCTCCCTCTCCCTCCTTCTCTCAGCACATCTCAGCTCAGAGCCCTGTTCAGAGGTTGAAAAGGAAGAGGCACAGAGGAATGTTTCTTTAGGGCATCAGTATACAGCCCACCCACGTTTCGGGTTCAGGCTCCCCGGTCTCCCCCTTACTTACTAAAGATTGTGGGGGGTGGGATACCCAGGCAGTGACCCCAGAAGTCCGGGCAGCAGTCCGACACAGTGCGGTTGCAGAAGAGGTCGCAGTAGCAGATGGTGTCCAGATAGGGAACTGTGCACTGGTCATCGCGGCCTGGACAGCAGCCCCCCCTCCGCTCGCAGTACGAGCCATAGGGGTCCCGGATCCCCCCTTGGTGAAGAGGGTTGTTCAGCTGCCGGCGGGTCCGAACCTGGTGCTTCGCAATGCCAACCTCCACCATCAGGAGGAGCCCCACCGTCATCAAGAGCAGGTGCATTTTCTAGGAGGAGGAGTTCAGTGTGTCTGTAGGAATGACAGAGTGGATATAGTCAAAATACAGGAGTTCCGCACACAGTCTGCCTACAGTAATCACACACACAGTCTGCC